ACATGACTTAACCCATGGAATTGTATAATGGTGCCCTGTAGTAGAGCTTAAATTTGTCCTGCAGAAATCTTATACTTCCATAACCTGATTAATAGGAAGTTGTTGAACATTTTAGAATAGTTTGCGGCTTCTCTTCTGTGAACTGTGAATTAGTAGGGCTTATGGCAGCCAAGTCAAACCACAAGGTTGCCACTGTTGCCTTTTGTGCTGCTGAGAACTTCTGTTATTGCCCTGTATATTCAACATTACAGTTCATTCTTTTCCCTTTGCAAAGGCATGTATGATATTGAGAACACCAAATATGTAAAAATGTTCATCAGTTTTTAGCCTACCTTTTCTCATAGGCTGCAGGGATATGTTTTCTTAAAAAAAAAAACAAAAACAACAAAGCAAAACCATTTTTGGTGTATATATTGCATCAGTTTTCAGTACAGAGCCTTGGTAAGACACAAAAGTATTGGTTTTTAGGGAGAAAACAATCTTTTTTCAGTACTGTGAGGAGAGGAAGAACTGAAAGAGCTTTGAGTAACATGACACGCATACTACTTCACCGGAAAGTGTAGCTGGTGTCTGAAATCCTGCTTCAGGCCAGTGAGCTGGCTGGTAAGCGTCTATGGTAAGAGGCATATCACCTCTCTCAGTTGCAATGTGTTGTGTGGAAAGACACCACATAGTTTCTTGTTCACAGAAGTTTCACTTGGTGACAAATCCTCAGTGCAGTCTCTCCAGTGCCCTGTTAGTTCTGCTGCAGAGAACCAGCTGGTGTTCCCTGAATGTAGCTAAACTGAGAGAATTACCCATTGCTCAGAATGGTGACACAGAAGGAAATGATAGTGTTAAGCTATTTTGGAGATTTATAGGCCCAAACTTTTTTTTTTTTAAGTATGAATTTTTTTCATATTCAGTGCTTCATGAAATGATTCATCAACTGGCATCTTTTGCTTGCTCCCTTTTTCTACACAGAGCTCTTCAGTTTGTTAGAGTGGTGCTGTTGCTTTAACTTAATGTAAGAACCACAAGTTAGGGGTTCGTTGACTTCTCCAGCAAGTCATGGCATGGTAATGCCCAAAATGTGGAAAGAAAATCCTTGTTATTTGGCCAGACTATTGTGGATCAGGCTATACTGTAGATTTTACTACTTTCTTGTCTCTCTGCTGAGAGTTTGTCTGCTGTCAGTGCAGGTATAAGCTTTGTTTTTGCCTGAACTTGGAGGTGGTTTTTGGAAAACTCCTCTTTTCCTTATGTTACAAAAGGTGTATCTTATGCTGAAGTCTGTTTATGTTCAGAAGCCAAAAGTGCAAACTGGAGAGAACCTTATTGAGAGGAAGGTGAAGATGATGAGTAAGAACACCAAAACAAAACAAAAATGAGAAACAGATCAGTCATTAATATCTGTAGACTAAGATTAGAGAGTGTGTTACTACAGTGTTATCAGTGTTCTTCATTACTGCTGGGCTCTTCTGGTAGAGCTGGAAAGGAAGCACTGTGGTGGGCAAATGTAGCAAATCTTGTCTGCATGGAGAACATACCTTCAGAGCCCAAATAATGAAAGGTTGATTTATGCCAGGAGTCTGAAGGCTTGTATTCCTTCCAAAACATTTCATGGCTTCAGGTTTTTATGCAAAGCTTTTCTAACAATCCTGTGAAGTGCTTAGCCTTAGTAAAGTTTTTAATTTCCTAGCTCAAAGGAAAAGGAATTGCCTTTAACATTTCTAAAATTGAGCTGTCTTTTTATTCCCATACAAAAGTGGATGAATACAAGTTTCTGATATTATGTGTCCTAATAGCATTTCTTGTCTAAATGGCCACTCTTAGTAGCACCATTTTTTCAGTTTCTCTGTAAGATTTTCTTTCTTTTTTTTTTACATGCTTTATGACCTGAGGACTGATGACAGAATGAATTGGTAGCCTTAATTTTGAGGTGTGTCATAATCAAAGTATTGATAGTGAGATTATACCATAGGCACTGTTTCATATGCTGTGTCACAACCTTTTGAAATGCTTTTTGGTCACATAAACTGAAAATCTTTTAATTCTGAGTGATATCTTGTAAGTTTGGGTTTGTTTTGTTTTGGGTTGTGGCAATTTTAAGATCCGTTAAGCTGCTCAGTTCATTTAGTTCTGTTGTCTATTTAGGAGACAGCACAGGACTTCTTGTTAACTACTCTGTGCAATATATACACAAACCATAAAAAAAGTCAAAAGGAAATGCAAATATTTTCTTATTTTCTATTTATGATGAAAAATCAGCATGAAACTGTTAAATATGGGATGCAGGTGTAAATACATATAGGATAGGGACCACTTTTTTTTAGTTATTTAAGTTATGTATTGGCCTTCTAATTTGCCTATGAATAATGAAAAAGGGGATAAATCATGTAATGAACTAGATCCTTTCTCTTAAAACCGTATAAAATTATTTCTTCCAGAGCCTTGGTAGCCTATAGATTTTTAAGGTGTCACGTAATGTAATGTCAAAACTTGTGATCATAACATGACAACCAGTCTGAAAATGCAAGTTGTGGTTAGTCTTACCAGCTACTGCCAAGCTACTTAGATGTTATATTACTTAAACATTTGTGGACTTAAAGACTGAGGAGGTAGTACAAAACCAGTTATTCATGCTAAGTTGGGCTTTTCATTCTAGTTCAGGTATTTATTTCTTAACTTTTTTAACAGCGTAATGTATGAGTTTTAAGTAAGATCTCTTCCTCTTCTGGAAGGTATTATTACAACTGAGTCTTGCTGGCATTCTATAAATAGATGTGCCTTAGCAGACTGAGCCTCCCACCTACCTGAAGAGGATTTTTACCAATCCAGTTGTTAACTGTACGCTCCCTTGCTGAAAATGTTGATTACAAAATGCTTTTCCTAATGTGTGTTCATCTCTGGTGCACCACTTCTTGTAAGTGCTTGGCTGACAGCCTGATCTATAATTGATAGAGGCATATAAAGGAAAATAAATTTGAAGGAAGAAATGGAGAATTTTTGTGTAAACACTGGCTCTTGAACAAACTGGATGAGTGTTTTTAACCTTCTTTTGGTCTGTTTGAAAATGAGCCTGCTAACCTAAGCCTCTCAAGAACATTTTCTAAAAGTCCTTGTTTTTAGGAGCATAGTAAGCTTTCACCTGTACTAGTTAAATTTTCAGTATGCTTATTAGAATAATAAACATACATAGATATGTATATATAGTCAAATAACAGCAGGGTGATGACATTCCCCAGCCTGTCAGTTCATCCCCAATAGGTGCTCATGTACATACTTTTTCTTGTTTAAGGTAGGCTAGCCTTTTCTCACTAAAAATAGTCCTGCTAGAGCTCCAGTGGAAGCAGAGCCACCTAGAGAGGGTTGGCCAGGACCATGTCCAGGTGACTTTTGAGTATTTCCAAAGGTGGAGATCATGCAGCCTCACATTAAAACGGTATTTCCTGGTGTTCAGACAGAACTGTGTTTCAGTTCATGCCCATTGTCTCTGGTCCTGTCCCTGGGCACCACCGAGAAGAGCCTGGCTCCATCCTCTTTGCACCCTCTCTTTAGGTATCTATACACATTAATAAGATTCCCCCCTGAGCCTTCTCTTCTGTAAGCTAAAGAGTCCCAGCTGTCTCAGACTTTTGTCATGGGAGTCAAGCTCTCATGCTCTAGTCTCTTAATCATCCTCATGGCCCTTTGGTGCACTCTCTCCAGTACGTCCATGTACTGAGGAGCCCAGAACTGGACACAGGGCTCCCAGTGTGGCCTCATCAGTATTGAGCAGAGGGGGAGGATACACCTCCCTCAGGCTGCTAGCAGTGCTTTGCCCAGGATAGCATTAACCTTCTTTGTGGCAAGAGTGTGTTGCTGGTTCATGCAGATTCTTGGATTACATCCCATGATAGGTCTTGCCTTTTGTTTTGAAATATTCAGATTTCAAATCTTGCTACCTTTTCTGTTGAAAGAGTAATGCTTTTTTTTCCTGCTTCTTTGTTTGTTAGAGGTAGGCTAGGTGCTGCACAGGTAACATTGCTGAAATATTTTGCCACCATTATAAAAGTATATTAAGTAAGAGTGCCCCTTATGTAAGTAAATGTATTATGCATTATATTTACTTGAAGTATACACAAAGGAAATCACTACTTAACTATTAATAGATCCTTCATAAAATAATGGTATGTGCTAGGTGTTTTTAATAGCAAAGGCACGTAGGGTGATTATTCTTGCGTACATGTGGAAAGATGAAACATACATTCTTGTAGAGTTTTGTTTTTTAGTTTCAGTTTCTTAACTGAGGAATATGTAAATCCTTTTAACTTTTTTCATGCAGTTATTCTTAGATTGGATTAGTTGAATTTGGAAGCATGCTGTTAGCTGGGTGGGTTTGGATTTGTTTGTTGCTTATATTCAGTTAACTTCTGTACAGTTAATAGGAAGTTTCAGTGAGAAGGGAGACAAGGAAACTCGGTTCTGTTAGTTTTATCTAATATTAGAAGATTATAGGATTGAAAAGGACATTAGAAATTAGTTGTTAATGGCAGCAGATCTGAAACAGGGTAAGTACCTTTGTAGCACCTTTTCCTGGTCTCAAATGGGAATCTTCATCAGCTTATTACACTGCAAATTCTTGTTGATCACTGTTCATCTATAACAGGTCGATGGTCAATATGAAAATATTTCTCAAGAAAATAGGACCACATTTCATTATTTCACATTGGTAATATGTAATAGATACTATGTACACATGAATATGGGGGTGTACTTTTGTGAATTTATATGTACGTGTGGAAGGCTGGATAAGAGTATGTTGAAAAAATGCTTCAAAAAACATGGCTAAGAATTTTTTGGAATGGAAGAAGTTTTGCCTTTCTGTTTAAGAAAATCCTGGAAACTGGTGATTAACGCTCCACTGATCAGAATCTACAGTGATGAGGCTTATTTCTTCAGTGTTGTGAATTTTAAGTTGCTTTTTATTTTTTTTTTTTTAATTTCTTTTTCCTCCCTCTATTCTCTGTAATTCACAGCTTTTGGAAATTAACTGGACTGGACTGACTAACCTTCTGGATGTTCCGGGACTTAAGTGAGTATATGTAAAGCAGTGTTTGATATTTCTTTACCCTATTAAACCTCAGAAAATCTGAAGACCATCAGCTAAATAATTTTAGGTAAAATGACTCAGAGCAGTTACTTCTTAACATTGAATTACATGAAATTGCTCAATATACAGCAGGTGGTGATTTCACTACAGGTGAAAGGACATCAAAAGTATATGTAGTGTCTTGTAAAAAAATATTTTGAAAAGATAATGTTTAATCTGATTTTTTAGTGTTCTCAGACTTTCCAGATTTCCAAAATCTTGTGAATTTCCTATCTGTCGTCTCCTAGGACGGCAGAAAGACAAAGAGATGTATTTTTTTTCATGCCAGTGGGTTTACAGCAGCTTGGCTCATGGCTTTGTATGTGGATACACCTCTAGTTGCTTGAATAAAGGTAGTTAGAAATACCTTAAGACAGTAATCAAATTAATAAGCCTTCTAATCTCTTCAAGTATTTACTTATAAAGCTTTCAGTTTGCTACTCCATTTGATATTCACATAATAAAAATATTGACTGTATATTGCTAGAAAAAAAAATCTTGACTTATTCAGAGCTTTTCAGAATAATACACATTAAAACCCCAAAGGAAAAAGCAGAAGTGGAGGTGAAAACTAAGCTGCTTTGAATCATTGCAATCCTGATAAGGTTAAATCCTTATTAAGGATAATTATGAATTTATTCATAATTGTCAAGTTGTAATAGTTACCCAGGGGCTTTATAATTTTGAGACAATAGGTAAGGGGATAATGATGGATCTGATACATGCTTGGATTTTGTGACTAGACCTTTTATGAGATGCCATAGTCTCCAGCATTGGTTGACTCCAAAATTACTTTTTATTGTTTAAAAACAAGAGTTTGAGTGTAGGCATTAAATTAATCCTTTGGTGCTCAATTGCGTGACTGAAAAGGTTTTTGCTTTACTTAGACATGTGAAGCCATTGCATGGAATCCCAGTTGAACAGCTTGAAATTAGAACTTGCATAAAGTAGGTTAATGGCTGCAAGAACTGCTTATGTTTCAAGACTGCCTCTGAGGAAAGGGGTTTTCTTGATGAGTGAGAAAATGGCTTCCAAAATACAGCTCCTGAGTAATAATTTGCTCTTTTGACATAACACTAAGAAATATACATTTAGTACTTAAGCTTACTAGGCTCCTGAGATTCATATCATGCTACATATTTGCCTGACTGCAAACAGGAAATCTCGGATGTAAACAAAGTCTCCTTCAGTATCTCAAGTTTATGGTTTCCAGAGCAACTATGCTTGGCCACATACACATAAAATGGTGCCATCTAGTTTTGGTATAGTTTCTATAGTAACTGTAACGACTCATGCTCTGCCTTGCCAAGAATTTCTTCAGTGCTGTATTTATTTTTCTTATCTGTGTAGAAAGATTGTATGTTTTAGTATGACAGCTTGACATACTGTAGTTGTTAGAAACAATGATGAACAAGTTTGCTGCTGCCACAGGTACCTTTTTCATCCTATTGCTGTTGGCTGCACACTATACTACTTATCTCTACTTTATTTGCAAATGTCTTCTACTAAATGAATTTCTGCATTTGCGACTGGAAGCTTTTCCCTGTCAGCTGTTAGCAACTTCCATTGCTCTTCGTATATGACTCCACGAGGAGAACACCACAAAAGTAATTCATATTTCATCTTTAATATAGCTTATGGAGGAGTGGAATTAAAATCTCTACGTGAGCAGGAGCCAGGCTGTGAGAATACTCAAGTGCTGTCAGGAGGGTATGTGGATCACAGGAAGATGAATTATGTTATGGTTGCTTGAGATACAGTAAAAATACTCTATGCAGTCAGAGATGTGCTGTCTCTGCAGCAGGAATAAAGATGACTCAGGAAAAATACATAGCTGCTTATTCTGTCACTAAAAATTAAGTAGGGCTAAACAGAGTAATACAAAAGAAGTAGGTAACTACAATTTGTTTGTTTGTTTGTTTTGCGGTGAAATTGAGCTTTGTGAATCCTCCCAGGGACTGGGCTGTGTTTGGCTTCAGGCTGCTCCTTTCTCTTATTTAAGGAGATCTGCTATAGCTCCTTTTGAATATTAGTCAATCTCTGAACCTTTTGCCTGTCTAGGATAGGTTTATTTATGCCTTTAGCTTATTTCATAATGTATGTGATTTTAACTAAGTACTAGAGAAGAGCAGCATAACCTTCTTTTGAAGGCAGCTCTGGTGCTATTGCCTCTCTTGCACTGGTCAGTTGCTTTCTCTGACCTAGGTCAGTTTTCTCCATTAATTATCTGTTCTTAAGGCATGTGCTGTATTGAACATAAAGGCAGAGCTTTCCTTTCTTGCCAGGTAGGGGCACTAACAAAAGCAAGAACAGAAGAAACTTATCTGGTATCTCTCTACTGGAGTTTTGTCATCAGCCATGCATTTTGAAAAGTCTAGTTATTGCTTATGTGGTTACCATGACCTCAGTTTGGGTTTTGTTCTTGTCTTCCTTTTAATGTTAAGACTGGTTGATGCTTATCTTAATATTTTTTAAGTCAACCCTCACAATAAATAATGGGTTCTGTATTTCTTGACTTATTTTAGAGGAAGTTTAGCATATGTAGGTGGAAAACAATGTTTAGCAGAATGGAACTGACAAGTTTGAAAAGCAACATGTGTTACACTGATGACTGAAGGAAGCTACTTACTGTCAGAGAGTATGATCTCTTCGTAGTATTTGTCCTAAGAAACTTAGTGAAACTATGACTTTCCAGAGTTCAGTGTTCATGTAGAATGAAAACCTTGTAAATATGGTTGGATAAGTTCTGCAAGAGAGGAAGGGGAATCAAGGCACCTCTTGAGGGTAGAAGTGAAGAGGAAAATTTTCCTCTGAGCAGTATCTTAACATTGTCCACTGTTGCTTCTTCCAGAGAATAAATGGAGGTCTGCACAGACCTGTCCATTGAGCTTGATGCAGTCTTGAGTTCCTTCTGTTCCTATGCAGCCTTCTTGAACAGCCTTCTGTTCTTGATGCAGGCTTCTGTTTCTTCTGTTTCCTAACAAGTTAGCCATATTTCATCATGTATCCTAGTTCATCTAGATTTACAGTAAAAGTGGACTTCCAAGGGGGTACAGGCTGTACAGGTTGCAGATCTCTGGCTTGGAAGATCAGTGTGAATTTGAAAGGGGCCAGATTGTATCTAATGGGTTAATTCTGTTGCTCATTTTTACCATAATACCTTTATTGGCTCACCATGAACTTTTCTTCCCAAATGAAAATGTAATATATATTACACTTCACTGCAGCTTTTGTGGTTTTTTTATATATATGGTAACTGCTGAGTCAGAATTACTCCCAGCTGCAGACTGAGTCTCAGGAAAACCTCAGAGGGTGATTACCCACCTATATAAGTCCTTCATCCGAAAATGTTCTAAGTAATCAAATATTGTCTGCACCTTAATTTCATAAAGACTGTGAAAGGAGAATCATAAAATGTATTTAGGAGGAGAAATCATTCACCCTTGACACAGCACTACTGGAATTAGAGAGAGTGTACCAGCAGTTCAAAATATCTCAAGTATTTTTATACTTTTCTCTCTGAACCTTTGTACATACCCCTAAAGTATTCCTAGTTACTTGTCTTCTGTCATGAACTGTACCTCTCCAGGTCTGACTTTTTGCCAGTACAGGCCATGTGTGTAACAACTGCTATTGGTCTGACAACATAGTGATTTGTTGTCAGTTCAGAACCAAACGGGGCAAACTCATAGCTTAGGAATCCTTTTTCTTTTCTGTGTCTGTGGAGAGGTATGTGATTAGGTTTTTTAAATAGTTCATTACCAATGTGATAGTACTGCCACTCCCTTTTTGCCAGAACAAAACCTGTTTTGCTTCCCTAGGCTACATTTTATGTGGTCATGAGGATGTTTTCTGTGTTTCTGTTTTAAATGGTGGTCCTCCTGTCTCAAGAGCAGCTTGTTTTGTAACAGTACAGGAACAGTTAGCCCAAACTTTCAGGGACAGTTAAATCATTATTGAAATACAGAAGTACATTAACAGTTAACATCTGCTTGGTTATATGGAATGCAGGCAAAAAAAGCTGATGGAATAGTCTTTTACCCTGGATGGCTTCAAAAGGCAGGGGTGAGGGAGGAACTTGGGGGTGACAGGGAAATGAGAACTTCGTGTTCATCTCTGTGGTTTCTGCTATTCTGTGTCAGCTGCTTCCATCTGGTGGCAATTTTGGCAAGAGTTCTTTATTCAAAGAGAGGTGCTCAAAAACCAGATGTCTTCTACCCCCTGAAAAAAAGGCAAATATTTACTCCATTTAGGTTGTTAAGCAGCAAAAAGAGTATACCAGTGTGACATAATGTGCTTAATCCTCATGAAGTAACTGAGGATTATTTTCTCCAACAGTGGCTTATCAGATACAATAATACTGGATATAATATCCAACTACCTGGTCCTTCCAAATAGAATTACAGTCCCCCTTGTCAGTGAAGTGCAGATTGCTCAGCTGCGGTTTCCTATACCAAAGGTAAGCGTGTTTCTGTTAATACTAACAATGTGGCTTTTGGTTTTTGCTGTAGTGGTAACTGTTAAAGATATGCACATCTATGTGAGTTTCTGAATACAGTTAATGCAGTGGTACAAACTATCATGGATCCAGTCACTTAAAATAATTTATAAAAAAATTCTATGGAGTTAATGTTTCATGATAACACACAGAAGGATATTTTTTTGTTTGTTTTGCCAGAATCTTAAACACTTACTTGCTAAAATATAGTTCAACTGTATGGACTAAAAATTAACTAGCATATCACTCAATTATTATTAGTACTCTTCACTTGAAAGTTGTTACTATTTATGACTACTGACTTCCAGTGGCATGGTATTTCTTGATATAAATTACATCTTTCAAATTGCTGATGACTTTTTCTTTCCAGAAATCTCTTTGAGTGCTAGGTCTTCTATGTATGTGGATTGTCATCGGTATGCTTGCATTTGCAGTGTGTCCAAACTAAGTTTCATGTTAAGGAAATCTCAGTGGAAATTACAGAACTGAATAGATTATGATGTCGTAGAAGCTTTTGGATTACTACATAAACTCATCTTTTCCTTTTTCAGGGTGTTTTAAGGATACACTTTATTGAAGCTCAGGACCTGGAGGGGAAAGATACTTACCTAAAAGGGATTGTCAAAGGAAAGTCAGATCCTTATGGAATCATCCGTGTGGGCAACCAGATTTTCCAAAGCAAGGTCATCAAAGAAAATCTCAATCCAAAATGGAATGAGGTTTATGAGGTATAAGACTATGTTACTGTGCGTTCTGTAAAGTTGTCTTCTGAAGTTTCTTTTGTTAAAGAAGATACTCTGCGGACTTCCTGGAGAAGCTTCTTGATGGCTTCCTCTAAAAGCTCAATGTTCGGTAATGAAACAGAAATTCTCCAGTGATGTATATAATTTTTTTGTTTAGACTAAGCATCAGTAATTTGGTAAGGCAATGTAGTCTCTTAAAGGCATTAGCAAATTGCATCTGAAAAGCTCTTGCTCTACAGGTAAACAGTGAGAAGAAGTAAACCATAACAGAACACGAATGGTATGTGAGGAAGCAGCGAGGCACTCATCTCCAAAATAAACTCTGAAAAGACACACACTAATATTGCTTTTATAAACTGCATGATGAAGATGCTTTGTTTGAATTTTCAAACCGTAAAGACACTCAGAAAAATAAAAGGTGATATTCTTTTAACTGAGCATAATGGAATTTAAACTACTCAGGCAGCTTATCAGAGCTCTGCTTGTGCCCCACGTTGGGCGCCAATAAATCTGCCATGGTTTGGGGTCAGGGCCATCCCCAAACCAGTAACAGATGCTCTCCCTTAACCTCCTTCCTCCCTCCCTCCCGCAACGGGCACGAGAAAAGGAATAAGGGACAGAGACTTATCTATTAGAAAAGAAAACAGCTCTAATTCTACTACTACTGATAATAGTAATAATGATAATAAAATAGAATATTTACAAATTTATACAAAACTGGTTTCGAACCCAACTCCTGCCCCCAAGGCAATACATCACTGTTGCTCCTGGCTGGGGAGCAGCCGCCAGGGAAAAGTCCCAGGCTGGACTCGGCTGCAGACAGACACTGGGTACAGCAGCTGGATTCTGGAGCTTGGTTCAGGAACACAGGGCTCGGGATCAGAGGCGGGGATGGAGGGAGTTCGCTTCGGATGCGGCCACTGCAGAGGCAGGAAGAGGGAGGAGGGAGGCCAAAGGGAGATGGAAGGGGTTGCCCTTCCTGATCCTTCAGCTTTTGTACTGGATAAGAGGGATATGGGCTGGAATACCCCATTGGTGAATCTTGGGGTCACTTGTCCTCTCCTCCCTGCAGGTGCAGCTTTACTCTCTGTCCCCTCTGTGTGGGACACAAGCTTAGCAGTGACCTTGGTCTGCACACCAATCCCTGGCAGTAACTCTGAACATGGAGTGCTAGCACTGCTAAAAGCAGAGTCTGAGAAGACATGCTGCTAACTTCAGACAGGGCAGTTAATTTGAAGAGTTTTAGCTGAAAAGCTAGATCATTGAATAGGACCAGCTCTGTTCTAGCTCAAACCAGGACACTCTACTCAGCAAATTGCTTCTACTTTAAAGCATTTGTTTACTGATATTTTTTTAATACACAAAGGCACTACAGTTCAATGTTTTACTGATACTATGCCATTTAACAAAGTTAGTTGCTTTTCTGAAAGTGCCATCTTACTGTACTTCCAGGCCTTAGTATATGAACATCCAGGACAGGAGCTAGAGATTGAGCTCTTTGATGAAGATCCAGATAAAGATGACTTCCTGGGAAGGTAAATGTTATGGACAATATGTTTGTAGGTATTGAAAATAGATTTTTTTTTTTTTTCTGGTTGCATTTTATTGCAATTGTAGTTCTACTGTATTACTGTATTTGCAAATTGTCTTTTCAAAATTATGGTAGTAAATAGTTCCCTAATTACTTCATGTATGTAAGCATATATATGTTAAATATGCCTCTGTGTGTATATACACATGTATATGTCTAGGCATTTTTTAAAAAAAATAAGGTAAGTATTTTGGGTACCCAGGAAAAAAAAAAGTTGGTGTTTTTTCTTGTTTGTCTGTTTTTTTTTTTTTTTTTTTTTTTTTTTTAAGGAATTGTACCCTACATGCTTTAATGTTTGTAAGCTACAACTGAATCTTAGTTATTTCTTCAGGCAAATTTAATATAGCTTGATAACTGTATCTTCTTCATCTTCATATTTTTTAAATGGTTATCTCACAGTTTATTTTCCTCTAAAAGCTGATCTTAACTATTTGATTAAAGAAAAAACTTGCTGTAATGCTTTCGCAAACATTACTCACTCTTAGATTCCATAGCCCTACCTTTAGTGTTTACCCATAAACATTGCAGGCTTTTAGTCAGCATTTTTCTCCAGTAATTTGTCACCTTTATTTCTTGCAGAGTTTTGGAGCTTCCCATTGTTGCTTTCCATACAGAGTAGAACTCCCTTATCTTTCCAGCTCCTTCTCTCTTAACAGGAGCAACAGTACCTACTTCTCTTCTCATTAAAATAAAGAAGTAGGTAGTACAAAGGCTTCTTTTCTTTGCACTTCCCTCATCTTACACTGAAGTGGTGGGGGGGTAAAGTGGCATAATGTGTATGTCAATACTAATAAAATAAAAAGCCACGACAAATGTTCATGCACTGGCATGCAGCTGTCTGCCCTGTTTAATTTTTACCTGATTCCTTGGTACATTTTTAGCTTGTGTGAACTAGCACCCTCCCAGGCAATGCCAAAGCATGAATTTGGCCATAGCATACATCCAGGGGCTATTTCCAGTGGGTAGTTTGGATGTGGTCACTGCTTTGAGAGTTTGGTCATAGATATATGAGCCATAGTGTGCCAGCTGCCCTCATAGCTACAAAATGGGCTCTAGTATAGGCATATTTTCTGTTATCCTGCATTCATCTTCGTTCAGCCATTTCATTCCCTACTTCTTCCTCTCTTAGGGGCTAAAAGAATAGTATTCTGCTCTTTTGATCTCAGTGGAAGACTGGATACTCAGCAAGCACAGGGTGGGGTTTGAGTTCTGTATTAGATTTTTTTTCTTCTTGGCTAAAATACTGATTTTTTTTCTTTCTTTTTCTAGTTTGATGATAGATTTAATTGAAGTTGAAAAGGAGCGTCTTCTAGATGAGGTAAGTGTTCAGTAAGTTTTGGGTTAAGAAATCCATGTTATATAGTTGTTCTTGTGTTATCATCTTTTCCTGAGGATTGTTCCTCTATGTGCATGAAGAACATTAACGCTATAGACATAGATTCCCTGGTTATCAGTACAGTGGTTTAAGGGATATCTGAACTGGTGAAATCTGAGGAATGATGACATTCTTCTTCTGTCATGGATTTTTAAGATTACTGGTATGTAAATGCAAAACCCAGTAACTTCTATATTTGTTGAGAGATTTTTCTTGGAGGAGAACAGTGAAATGTCCAGTTTAACTGTTATTAGACTTAGCAGACTCATTTTTGTCCCATATGTAAGAGAGGTTTTATAGTAAGGTTATGCAGGGTTTGTATTTTCATCTTTACACAGCTTAAAGAATTTTCTAAATAATTTTAAAATGCTTTTACTGTATAATATTGAGGTTTGTGTGGATGGTTTTGTTATTTTTTGTTATAATATTTAGTGTGAAACAGGACACTTTAGACAGTGAATTAGATCTTTTCAGGTTATGTAGACTTCAGCTGTATGAGATTTCTGGTAGAGCTTAGCATTTCCTAAATGTCCTGAAGAGCCAATTGCAATCATTGTTTGGTGTCAGATTATTTCACAATACTTTGCTTAACTTTTAGTGGTTTACTTTGGATGAAGTGTCCAAAGGAAAATTGCATTTAAAACTGGAATGGCTCACATTGATGCCAACTGCTGAAAATCTAGACAAGGTATTGAAGGAACGCTGACTTTTAATCTAACCTTAATTGTTATGGGTTGTTTTTTGTTGGGGGTTTGTTGGGGGGTTTTGTTAAGTATGTAAGTAATTCAATTGTGTAGCTGTCATGAATTTGGATAAACCTGTAACTTTATTCCAAATTGTTTATCTTCATAAATCTCAAACCAGTCATAACTATCAAATATTCTTGTGGTGTGGGATTTTAAAATGCTATTGTGCCTCTTCTTTTGTTTTATTTAATGGCTTGAGAATATCAGCTAACATTTCATTAGCTTGGGAGATGAAGGTAGATAGGATATTATAATCTATCCAGTGTAAAAAAAAAAAAAAAAAGAAGAAATGGGGTGGAAATTTCCATAAAAATGGGTTTGAAATATTTATACTAGTCTTGAAAACTTCCTGTACTTCCTAGTGTGCGTTCTTGAATGCGTGTGGTTTGGGAGAGATTTAAAAAATATTTTTCAGAAATGGGACAGAGCTCATAATAGTGTTTGATCTTCAGAAATGCTTACAGTATGTTTTTGATCTAGGTGCTAACAAGCATTAGAGCTGATAAAGACCAAGCCAATGATGGGCTTTCTTCTGCATTGCTTATTCTTTACTTGGACTCGGCAAGAAACCTGCCCGTAAGTTCCATTCTGCTGGCTGCCCCCTTGTCACGGGTATCTCTTGCATATTTCCAGCATGTCTTGCTTGGTAGCATTGCACACTGCTTTACTAACACACTTTTATACCATGTTTTCTATACTTTTTCTTGTTTCAAAACATGTAATGTAAGGTCCACATTTCTATTAGTACAGTATTACAGATACATGTGTAATAAAACATTAGTCTTTAATTAGTGTGATTTTTCTTTAAAGAATGCTCCTTTCCTGGACTTGAAAGGCTGCATGTTTTTTATTGCACAGTGTTTTCTATAAATAGTATGGGATTAGTATGAAGAATTTCAAGGAACTACTTCCTTGAGTTCAGGTAAACTTGCTTGCTTTGTTTTAGGGAATTTGTGGTACATTTGAAAGTCCTGAAGTCCTCATCATGAAATTAATACTGTGCAGTTGGTGTTAGTCTCAGAACTCTTGTAGGGGATTCTGTTAGGTTGTCATTTGGAGTATTGTTTATTTGCTTGTACAAAACATAAAAAGAAATCAATGGTTCTGTCATTACATGGATTATACTATGGGACTGTGAAATAGCTGGTTTCTGACAGGCACGGACTGTTTTGTAGTTTATTTCAAGTTGGCAAAGTGATGTTCCTGGTTGTAAACAATAGCAATAATAAAGTAAACCTGACCATAGATAGATATGTGAACCATAACACTGAGTTTTTCTGTTTTTCAGCATTGCTGCTAGATGAGAAATTCTGGAAGTGCTGACTAAAATACTAATCAGCATAGGGAGTTTTCAAGGCTCAGGCCTTTTTGCATGCATTTTGTAAATTTGTCCACTCAAATTTAAGTTAAAATGCTGCATCAGAGCCGTGACAAATGGAACCTTAGTAGCCTAAACAATTTACATCACTGACTAGTCATTTCATGTCTGTTCTGGGGTGTATAGAGCAGTATTTGGAAGTTCTGTTTATAGGTTATTTCAAAAGCTAAGAAGTTGTAGCACCTCTGGAACACAGTCCTGCAGTATCTTTTTAACCTCACTGTTATTGAATTCAAGGGAACTTGGTAACTTAGCAGAAAAAGACTAGAATTACTCTGGTACAGAATAAGCAGAAATAGAATAGAACTATGGTGTGCTTAACATCACTTTCAGAATACTGCAACACAGAAAAAGTCCATCTGCCATCCAAAAGTCTATCATGTGTTGTGCACTAGATTAAATTGAACACGTTTCTGTGTTTTCTTACTCAACTACTGGATTTTACTCAAAACTGTTAGAAGTTTAATATATTTGCTAAAATACACTAAAGCCTCTTACTTAAAATGAATAATTTTCTCATCCAAAATTTCCAGTTATTTTCCATACAACTCTGCTTCTCTATATTAGATTAGCTTCTCTAGCAAATTACTCAGAGGCTTTGTAGTAAGTTTAGGTTTTTCCCTTCCTGTTTTAAACAGACATTCTGTAACATTTTCTCCCTCCTTCAGAAAGGTTAGGCTGCAAGTCTTGGATTCTACTTATTTTTAGGGACTGTATTTTCATTTCAGTGTCTTAAATCAGTGCTTCTAATCAGTAGATCTCTAATCTCTAGGACACAAAAAGGGGAGGAGGTTCCTTGCACAAAGCTGCCCAGTTAGGAAATTTGGGAACAGGATCCAAAATTTCTCATTGCTGTGTCTGATGTTCTGTGTACAGTACAAGATTGCCTGGGTGGGTCGAGAATAAGGAAGGTCATAGTGTGGGACCTGTTTAACCCTCTTTTTTTTTTTTTTTTCCTTGCTTTACCAGCCCAGAAAAGCAGTTCCTACAAATGACTTAGTATTTAACTTCAAGTCATTTTCTTTCCAGAAAGAAGTTATAAAGAATGTGATAGAAGGTAGCATTGGACACTTGAAAATTCCATTTATAAGTTTACAACAATAAAGTAATATAAAACTATATTAATTCAAGTTATCCAAAACCAGATAAAAAAAGGCATCATAGTTAGGTGAGGGAAAAATACCACAGGAAGACTTCTTCATGCAGGACGACTCAAAAGAGTGCTGTAGCTTCTATAAAGACAATGCTTAGATAATGTCATGGAGCTGCTAGTTTAACTGCAGTGAATTCTAGTGAATACAGCTTTTTTTTTGTCTGTTTGATTGTAATACAACATTTACAAGACTAAACCTGAAAGTCTTCTGGCTTCTCGTGTTCATATTCACTGATAGGGGTTGTGTAGTGTAATAACAAAATTAATTGCTCTAATAGACTGCTTGTATTTATGGGGAACAAAAAGTTCAGAGAATGAAGTGTTAAAATTACATTGACTCTTATTAGTAGTTTTGAAGACTTTTGTCCACAACTTTAATGTTACAGCTGAAATATTTTTTAGATGAATAAGTACTTCTAATTACCTTCTGAACTGACTTCTTAAGTTAATGCTTATCGCTGGTATGTTTTAGATCTTGTCATTAGCCTTGTTTTGAGTTGTAGTGGGAAGTTTCCAGCACAGGCATTTCTTTTCCATAGGTGCAACATAGTTGTGGGTTTCTGAGGCACTGGGATGATTGATCAGAAACATGTTTCAAGTGAAATAGAAACAGTGTAGAAAGCTGGTCTCTAAATTCACATACTTGGATCCGCCATATAAATCTGAACTAACAAGAGTAAACTTGGAAAATGTGTTTATATATTTGAGTAATTAATAAAAAATAAAAATCAAAAAACTTCTTACCTTGCTGTGCTACAGAAAGTCATTTAACAGGTGAAACTATTTGTAATGTCAAATATTTATTTACTTTTTGTTATCTGCTGTTTTCTCTGGAATCCTTTGACTGTTTTCCTTAACTTTTTTGTGTAGTAAAGCTGCTTATGCATTCATTCTGCCACAATCCCATCACTCTGCTTTCTCCTTCCATTTCCATCTTCCTAAGAGTATCTACGAGGGAAACTTTGGGTGTGGATACTTAAAAGAGAGGAGAGCATCGGGACTAGTCTTTTGTGAAAACACTACCTCACTCTATAGAGCACTATTTGTGAGTTCTCTGGTATTATTTGTATTGTATCTTTTATCTGCCAGAGTGTGGATTAGTGCTACTAAAGCCACTCACTCTAGTGAAATGAGAGCATGCAATTTGTTTTGCTGCATGGTTTCAACAAGTGTGCATTGTTTTTGTGGTATTTTTATTGCGTTTTAAAGGCTACTTAAATTTCATTGATCAGCATACCACTGGGTAAGTAATTAACTTTTAATGATAAAAACCCAAGATACATTTGTTGTAAAAGCTCTTACTTTTAATTTAAATTGCCGATTCATTGGGATATAAAATGCATACTATACTAGCACACTGTGTGCTGGTGAATTGTTAGCTTTTTTGCAAAGAAATTGAACAATAAATATTACAACCAGCAACATCCCTGTAGTTTCTTTAAAAGGCGATGCACTCAAATGTTTGTAAGAACTTGTAACCACTCCACACTGGTTCAAGTATTGCTTTAAAAATGAGTTTGTTTCTTTGTGCTCCCCAAACGATAAATTCCCTTGTAAATTCTATTTCACTCCACAATGCTCCTTGTTTTGCAAATGCCCAAGCTCCTTTTCTTTTTTTCAAATGAGTCAGTAGTCACAAAAATCCAGGCTAGGGACAATCACCAATTAAAAATTTTTGCTTCAATTTAAGATACAAGGTTATTATTATTGTTATAAACTAGTGAGCCTCTGAATATCTTATACTGAAATCTGTAAATACAACCTTGGTATTTTCAAAAAGAATGAGAATTTGTTCAGAATCAGAACTCTTTTGCCAGAGAGAGGTGGGTATGCCACTGGAGATCATGGAAGTATATCTGTAGCTGGCTGGCTACTTTTGACTCATATCATAAACTTCGACTTAAAACCACGTTCCCCACAGCCCCCAAATCCCAACAAAACCCCTCACTGCAATTCTTTCAGTTAGTTTCTGTGTAGGAGTTCATTTTAAGTTATTGAAAAAGTTACAGCCATTACTACATCTTGTTAAAATTAAATTAATAAGAAATGCAGTTCATAAGCTATGGTTCAGTTATCTTGGTATTAAAACTGATAAGTATTTTGTTTCTTTTAGTTAAAAAAAAATCCTACTGTAAAGTAGTTACTAGATACATCCTAGAAATAATAATTGAAAAAAAAAAAATAAAGTGTGTAACTCTCATGTTTCTGTTGATCTTAAGGGCTTTGCCTTAGGATATCTTGTCTCCATGTAACAGCATCAATTTAGACACTGGACAAAACCTAAATCATAGAATCACTGTGATTGGAAAGGACCTTTAGGATCATCAAGTCCAGCCTTCATTCCAGTACCTCCTTAACCACTAGATCATAGCCTCAAGTGCTACATCTACTTGTTTTTTGAACACCTTTAGGGATTGTGATTCCACCACCTCCCTGGGCAGCCCATTCCAGTGCTTAACCACTCTCAGTAAAGAAATTCTTCCTAATACCCAATTGAATACCCTGCCACAACTTGAGGCCATTTCCTCTCACTGTATTAGTAATTTGGGAGAAGCGACCAACAACAACCTCACTACAATCTCCTTTTAGGTAGTTGTAGAGAGTAATGAGGTCTTCTCACAGTTTCCTCCAGGCTAAACAACCCCAGTTCTCTCAGCCAGTCCTCATGAGGCAGTTTTCCAGCCCTCTCACCAGCCTCACTGCCCTTCTCTGGACCCACTCCAGCACCTCCATGTCCTTCTTATCCTGTGGTGCCCAAAACTGGACACAGGGCTCAAGGTGTGGTCTCACCAGTGCCAAGTACAGGGGCACGATCACCTCCCTACTCCTGCTGGTCACACCGTTTCTGATACAGGCCAGGATGCCATTTGCCTTCTTGGCCACCTGGGCACACTGGTTCATGTTCAGCTGGCTGTCCACCAACACCCACAGGTCCTTTTCCACCAGGCAGCTTTCCAGCCACTCCTCCCCAAGCCTGGAGCGTTGCCTGGGGTTGTTGTGACCGTCCTGCACTTGGTCTTGTTAAACCTCATACAATCCCTGAAGCAATTTGTGAGTTGGAGTGGAACAGCAAACGTTTTAAGACAGTCACATCTGGATTTCCTTCAACAGCACTGTACTGCAGTTGCATGGCTGCTAGTCTTGCAGCAAATAGGAGGGTGAGATTTATGGTGGGAGGCCAGGAGAGGGGAGAGGGTTGGCAATAGCCAGGAGGTAATAACAGCTTCAGCAGTCATAAAACTGCAACTTGTTTTCAGGCCATCTTTAAACAGGAGGTATTAGGCAGACTTTCATACCTTCAGGTTCAGATCTCTAATTGACCTGTAACATGGGGCAGAGGGTGTCTTAAAAAGGGAGCTCACTTTATATAAGGAGAGGAAACTGCAGTGCTCTCTCTTTCTAGGCTGTTTTATTGACTGCTGGGAACCTAGATTCATCACACCTAATTCAGACATTTACCCACCTAAATCTGATTTATCTGAAGTTAAAGAGTACAAATAGGGTTCTTACTATAATTTCTGAAAGTAGGTAACACTGTTTTTACGATACATGATCATTAGTTCAAAACAATTTTTCTTTTAAATAGGTGTCCATATCAGATATAAAATATCCATATTTTAAATCAGCTCTTATAGATCAGTAACTATCTTCTGGTTAGCATTTGAGGATGCTTTCACAGATTTAGAAACTCAAAACCCCATTTTAACCCCAAGCAAGGCTGAGTTAACAGAAGTAATGAGTTGTATTCCAGAGAATATTGAATTAGGATCTGACTTAATAACAAAACAGCTTGTTAGTTGCAGTGTAGTTTCTGGGTTTATTATTAGGATTAACTGCAAATGTCACTAGCCAGAATGCTAGCCTAAACTCCTATTTACTCCACTGTGTCAGTTATCAGTCTAGTTCTTGTATATCTGTCCCCTTTTCCTATAACTGCAGAGACACTCATAACCATAGCAAGACAATTTTTCACCTAAGGTAAGACCTTTTCTTGGCTTTTTATATTGAATATTCCCTTTTCTTTTCTTAGTCTACTCCCACTCAGCTTTTCAGCCACCATCCTCACAGACCTTCAGCTCCTTTCCTTGCAACCTCAAGTCTGGCTTAAACATATTTATCCCAGCTGATGTCCCTCTTGCACTATCCTTGCTCTGATTCCAGAGGAATTGTGACGTGTTCAATATCTAGGAATCACTGGTTCCCAGCCTTTATAATTGATTACATAGGTTTGGGTTTGGCTTTTTAAATTATTTGAAAAAATGATCTGGGGGGGGAAGATATGTACTGAATATGCAGGTGCAAATGTGAAGGAAAGATGGCCAGTAAGTTAAGGATTCAAAATGATCTTGATGAATTGTGCATGCAATCTGAAAAAATAAGATACTTTTCTATAGACTGTGGTCATTGCACCCATACAAATATGGGATGGAAGTAATCGTCTGTTGGATAGCCCAACAGAAATAGAACTGTACTTGTGCTGTATCATATTGTTATAAAAAAACAAAACACTATACTGTATATAGAAAAGAGAAATGTAGCCTGTAAGATGTATGGACTAAACCTGCTGTTCTACTTAGCCATTACTAAGGCCCCAATTTTGGCTGCAGCAATTTAAGATCTGGAGGGCAGCAGTGTTGATAACGAGAAAGCCAGTAAACATGACCAGTAGAGGAAGAGAATTTAGCCTTAGGAAATAAAGATGAAGATGGAAATGATACAAGGCTGCTGCAAACACAGTAGCTTTTTCTTGTTTGTCAGAAAACAAGAAGCAGTGCTTAAACACCAGCAAGGAACATACCTGTAGGGCATTAAAAAGATTTCTAATGGAAAGGATAGATAAATATTAAGGTTGATATCTCTAGGGTTGTTGTGCAGTCTCTATCTTTGAAGCTCTTTAAGTACAATAGTAAGTTCCTAATCTATCAGCTAAGTAGCTGTGGAAGATTCCTTTATTTTAAGAAAAATAATTAAAATAAAAAATATTTTTTTAAAAAAAATCATACAGTATGTTCACTCTGACATAGAAATTTTGAAGCTGAATGCCAGGAATCTTGTCATATATATTTGCCAACTTAAGGGTATGACTTTCCAAAAGAAAATGTAATAAGTGTTTCTGCATAAAGGTTAAACCTCTTCAACGTTTAGTCACTTACAGATTTGAATTTCAGGAATGTGTTTCTTTTGGCAGAGCATTAATAATGTTGGTTCCCGTTCATAAACCAGCATGCTTAAAAAGGCCAGTATGCATTTTTTTTGTTGTTACCACACACTACAGCTTTTAAAACAGAATTCTTCCATTAAGCAAAAAATTGTGTTTAAAGAAAAAAAACAACCACAAGTATAGTAACTTCAAGTCTCATTTATTGCAACATTGTTTTTCCTTAATTTATTTCTGAAGAATTGAATGCAAATTTTCTGCAACATTTTTGTACTTTACATTTGTCCCTGGAAGAACAATATGTTACTCTTAAAATAAAATTCTAAAATTTGCTTAATTAACAGAAAATGATGAGAGGTTCTGTCCTGCTAGATCAGTTAGAATGCCTGTTGTTAGTGTATTTGCATGTCTTCATTCAACTGAATCAAGTGGCAGACCTTTATTCTAGTTAGCATGCAGTGTTTCTATCACTCGTCTGCTGAAGAGGCTCAAACTACTTTGATTTTAAGTCTTATCAATATTTCTAGCATTGAAATTTCTCCATAAAAGGACTACTTCATATGATTACTCGACTTATCACGGTGAAGCTTCTATATTGTGAAAATAAACTTCACCAAATTTAAAAAAGGTTAATTCAGAAGGCAGTCCATAGGACATTAGGCATTCAATAAAAGCTATTTTGTGAAGTTTCTTTATTATAGTAAAAAAGCCTGGTAAGGGAAATAAAACTGCACTTAAAGTAAGCCTATTAGTTTTAAAGCAAAATACAAACATTCAGAGAGGACAAGAAGAAATAAAAAGTTTTGTCAGATGTTTCTGTTGTTGTTGTTCATTGCTTTCTTTGAAATATTGTGTTTGATTTTTTTAGTTGTGGTTTTTTTCCCCACTTTGTCCTGTGTGGTCATGTCATAATTAATTAACCTAGTGAAATTGCTTCATTGCATGACTTATTAACCCTTGCTATGTTCATTCTCTCCTGACTTAAAAGCATAATCCATTAGAATTTAACCCTGATGGCTTGAAGAAGGCTGCTGTTCAGAAAGCCCTAAAGGTAAAAGTAATATAGTTGTCCATTTAAGGTCACAAAAGCAATTGGAAGTGCACAAGTGCCTGCAACATGTCTCTTCCAATAGTGGGTGGAATTTCTGTTGTCAGATATATATTTAGTGCAATAGATTTTACTTTAAATTTTATTCCAAGAAGCAGTCAAGGCATTGGTAAAACACTGTGGTCTGTGGTAATTTGAATTTTAGATCAGGTGAGGGGAGTATAGACTGCTTTAGAAGACTTGGGGAAAAATGTAGTCCTGAGAACTAATTTGAAGTAGTAACTAAAGAACAAAGCTGACATGAAAGCTAAGACATCTTTTACATGCTGAGTGATACTCCCTCTCTGTTGGTCAGCTCTGAATGACTACCAATAAAATCCATCTCTGACATGTTTTGAAATAATCTTGTTTTTCTTCGGTGTTTTTAGAAGGCTTTACATCTTTTATATAAATGCTAGATAAATTCAGCCCAGCCTTTTGATATGGAACATAGACATAGAGTTGAGAGGTAAACTTGGGAGGTATATGCCAAGTTCTCAGTTGGAGCAACTTGGACAAGAGGCAGTCTCTAATAGACTGTCAACAGCAAACCTGTCAGATGTTAAAGATGTGTTATATGTATGTGTACATATTGCTACCTATTTGGTATGAATTTAAATTATGTGTAGTCACAGATCAAGATAACCAACAGGGTCTTTTTGTCAACTTCTGTAGTTTCATCTTTTAATGAAGAAAAGGGAGTTTCAGACAGTTTTTATGGACAAAGAGAAAATGAAACATATGCCACCTACCATTTTTAAATGACATCAGTTGGAGTGTAATCTTTTTTTCTCTGTTTCTTAAACTTTTGTATTCTGTTGTCTTTGAGAGCTGAATATTTTCAATTAGAAATCATGAAAAACAGAAATGCAGCATTCATCCAAGAAAGGAGTCCTTTCTTAACAGCTTTTCTTCTAAAGGAAAGTATGGATATAAGCAGTGTGTCACATTAAAGTCAAGTAGTATTAGTGGAAATATATCAAACATGCAAGTTCCGATCCAAAAATACCTAAAACATGCACATTCTTAAGTTAAAAATCTAAAATATTTGAATCACTTGGTTGTCATTGTGACCTTACATGCATTAAGTATATTTTAACTAACTTCCTCTTTACATACCTGATCTGTACAATTTCCAACATGGTAGAATTCAAAGTAAATTATTAACCATGTATACTATATTTTCTAGGCATTTTAAAGTGCACTAACACCTGCTTGAGATGATTAACTTTCATGTCTAACTTTTTTTTTTTCTGACTTAAATTTTTGTTAGGTTCATTTAAAGTTTGTGAAAGAAACATGTAGTTGGGAATGTTCCTTTCTGCATGTAATTAGTTTCTAAACCAATGTTTATTTTCACAGTTTGATGTAATGCTATACAGCTGGTGAGCAAGGCTCAGCTATGGCAGACAGTTTACTCTCTAATAAACAGCATTTGGTAAAATGTAAAAATATACATTATATATATATA